GACAACGACCAAACTCCCTGGCTTTGGAGGACATTCAATGGGAAAAAAACAATGTTCATTTTTCGATTGAATTTAACTCAGAAGAGTTGAAATGAAATTGACTCACAATCTAGTAATGTCCTAGCGGATGGAAGCACGTATTCATTGTGACGGAAACTCTCGAATTCGAGGCGGAGGCTTGGCTATTGTCTTGCCAGGGATGACGATGCTAGAATTCTATCTGTCACCTAAATGAAGGATAGAATTCTATCCGTCTTCTAAGTGCAGTCGTTAAAATGTCTTAATAACTCCAAGTATAATCAAGGGAGATTTCCTGTACAACATTAGGTTATCAGCTGCGAGGAAGTTTAGAAAATCTATTCGTTCAAGATTTGAGGAGTTTTAGCATACCGTACGTGAGGATTTTAGAAATCCGCCAATATATTGGAGCAAATATAAAAAAAAATCTCTTCACTCGCTTTAGAGTAACTCAGCTTTAAAATTGGATGAAAAATTTCATTCATTCTATCTGCACAAATGCATAAAAAAGCTAATCTAACGAGCAAACTCCCTTTCCTACTGTTAGAAATTATCTAAAAAGAGGGAACAACTGATTCTAGAGGAACGGAGCTCAGGATATAGGTGCATATCTACAAAATATACAGCGCGCGATCGTTAATTGTTCAAGGTGCAGCCCCATTTACCGCACTGTTGTTCTAGGCGTGGTCACACTATATACAGATACAGTAAAAAGTAACAACAGTTGCTGTCTTATTTGCAAAGAAGAAAAAATATAACTCAGTACTCACTGCAATGAGTGACAGACAGCACATTTTCTCGTCGACGAAAACTTGAGGTCACGGACGGACGGACAGACAGACGGACATGGCGAGCACAATAGTGAATTTTTTTCCATAAATGAGAAAATGCGCTAAAAACAGCTGCTGTGGTCTATACCGTTCTTGTAATTAATAATCGCATGGCTTAAGAATACAAATGAATGAACATATACAAACTGTGTAGTTTAAGATATATTAGTTTAGGACACGCGATGTCTTCATGGGCAGGCATGCAATCGAGACAGCAATGAAGTCACGACGCCCAACACCTGCTCAGGCGAGCTTCATGATAGGAAACACCTTAGGTACAGCTGATAAGTTAGGTATGTACAGCTGATAGGTGCACTCATGTGTACAGCTGATGGGCGAATCATAAGTACAGCTGATAAAGGCACATCATATGTACAGCTGATTGTTACATCTTATTTTCAGTCAGCAATTCATTACAGCTGCACGTGAGTATGCAGCTGATAGGTCATGTATTCTGATCAAGCATTCAGTGGACAATTACATCTGCACTATGCATGCAGCTGCAGGTGAGTGTAGGAGTGGTGTAGGAGGCCGGCAAGGTCAGCTTGACGCCTCACAGCTGCTGCAANGTCTTAGCTAAAAGCCTAAATTTTTTTCCCGCGCAAATTTTTCCCGCGCAAATGTTTTTATAATACCACCGCTAGTATTACGTTGTCATAGCAACGCCACTCGTAAGTCGATTTTGCGTACTTACGAAGTTTTGATAATACGGCCCCTGTTCTGTTCCGCCGATACGAAGACCACACTTACATGGCATACCGTTACCCTAGTTACAGCTTGTCCATAATATGGCGGACACGCGGACAATGCATACCGCATACCCGTTATCCTACTTATAGTTCGTCTTTTATGTTGCGGCCACACTTACAACGCATACCGTTACCCTAGTATAACAGCTTGTCCGTAATGTGGCGGACATACTTCAAACGCATACCGTATACTCGTTAACCTACTTATAGATCGTCCTTTATGCTACGGCCACACTTACAACGGATAACGTTACCCTAGTAACAGCTTGTCCGTAATGTGGCGGACATACTTCAAACGCATACCGTATACTCGTTAACCTACTTATAGATCGTCCTTTATGTTACGGCAACACTTCCGACGGATAACGTTACCTTAGTAACAGCTCGTCCATCATGCGACGGTCACAATTACAACGCAAATCGTTATGCTTACGTAACACTTCTATAACGTTGTTCTTTACAAGTGTAATAATTGATTCCTCCAAGATCGAACATAACTCGATAAACGAAATAATCAAGTGAATGGTTAGTGGGGAATTGAATGGTCAACGGTTAGTTGAATGGTTAACTCATGTGTCAGTTAGTTGAATCGTTAACTCATGTGAAATATTGTGTGCAATCCACAGTAAAGTTTCTTTCATTTGAGCAGCGAACGGTCAAGCGAGCAGCTGTGTGCCTGTCTGTCCGGCAGGTCAAGGAAGGAACCAGTGGCCCGATGGAGAAAACATGTATCAGGATTTGCTGGGAGGCCTTCATTTGCGTACGAATTATACAGTTGCAAAGTAAAATCTTGGTCAGCGAATCTGCGGCCAAAGAATACTCATTCGGCTATAATTGCGACTCTGTGGGGTAGTATGCAAATTTTAATCTACCGCACACAATAAAAAAATATTCTATTGGGTAACTGCGTACGGTGGATTTTAAGCTATGAAAATTTAACACAGAATGCTACAGCTATAAGCAGGAAGAGGTTGATGTTATTCGATGTCACTCGGTGTTTTTTTCTGTTGCCTGCCAAAGGCCTAAAATAATGCCTTGATGCTTGATCTATTACAACGACTGAGCAGCAATCAAATTAAAGTGGCAAATAGATAGCAAAGATCTAAACTCCGTAATTAGTAAAGTCCCAGGGATTTTTAGAAGAGCATAATAAAAATATTTGTATTTTTAAATATTTGTGCATATTTTCATATATAGTTTACTTATTTCAAAATCAGTGAGAACGGTGGTTATTTGCTACAATAGTCGATTGATATCAAGGACCATTGAGTGTCTTGCTCGATGACGTTCTATTTAACACAGTGAAACCCTTTGCACACTTAATTATGTGAGATGCTATAGAAAAGCTATAATTACTGATAATCGTCCGGGAATTATAGGAACCAGATGCTTCAAAAACTATTGCACATTCAAAACGGTGTTCCTGAATTCAATTCATGCTTGCTCTTCTCCGCATACATTTATCGATACATAAATTTACTGCAAGTTGAAATGTGCAATCGAAATAAATAAGTTACCGAAAAGTGATTTAATTTACTTTGCGCCCGATATATAGTAAAATTCAAGGACATTGTAACCAATATGACAATAAAATGAAACAGACTGAACAGTTCACGCAAGTGTCCAATGTTTAAAATCACACGTTGCTCGTTTGAGGTTCATATACGAAAAATGTTCGATTTGCACCGATGCGGTACACATTTCGAATAAAACAGCGCTCGGCCTGCTGAACCCCAACAGCTGCCACCTGTTTTCAATGGAAAATTATGGTAGAAATATCAGCGGTAAACCGGCAGTGATGCGGTAAACCGGCAGTGATGCGGTAAACCGGCAGAACCATAGATAAACCAGCGAAGATTCGCAATAAGGTTTATAATTTGGCCGCTCAACCGCAGGTCAGGACTCCGGCTCAACGCCGCGGCCAGCGAAAGTGAGGAGTTGCGGTGTGAGCTGTGCCAGTGGGGCTACTAGTGGTATGGTTAACCCATGGTCTTACTGCCAGTAAATGTAACTACAGCTTTTTGGTACGAATAATTTAGATGATTATTTTCATTTCATTTATTCATTTGTTTTGTATAAAATCGGCCCATGGCCTAACGCCGGTAAGTCTAACTACCAAGCTCTTTGGTACGAATAATATAGATGACCATTTTCATTTTATTTTATTTATTTATTTTGTATAAAATCGGATAACGTAATACTCTTTTACCGTTAACATTATACCGTCACCTACCGTTAACCTTATAGGTGCCGTTTATTGAATACAAATAACATCGCTGACGAATTCAAGTTTTATTAGAAAAGCTAAACTGTAACTATCTATCACATACGAATAACATGGATGACAGCTAATTTTTAACAGGTTAATACCCGATCTAGAAGTTTTACTTCTCTCGGACTGTTACAAAGAGTTTTTTCAACTTTTCAAATGGTAATAACAACTGCAGTAATTTTTTTCCGTTTCTTATGGAACCCTAATTCAATAGTTTCTTTTCAAAGATTTCATTGCATTGTAGGAAGATTGTAAGACTTTCCCTTTTTGGTAAACTTCCAAAAATTATATTAATTTGTGAACAATTTTCGAAGGCTTTTTTAATTTAAATTTATTTAAAAACAACACTTAAATTTTAAATGTTTCTTGCGGAGCAACGCAGCATTTTTGCATTAATATTATAATGATTACTAACTACTAAACAATCTAGATGATTTATTGCATCATTTGGAGGTTATTAAACATTGGTATCGTTTATATTTTTACATTTTACAGGAAGATGGTCAATGGTTACTTTGCACCCGATATATATAGTAAATATATATCGACCGAAGTATATGAAGCGAGGAGACCGAAGATGGAGCGAGGCCCCGAGTCATGAGCGAACACTTTCGAAGCCATGAAAGTTTTTTGGTTAAAAATTATTACTCCCAAAAAATGTTCACCGCACAATACTTGATAATCTGGTAATGATAAGCAGCTGCTACCACACGCTACCCACCTGGTACCAGTGCCCACCGTTAAATTTAAACAGTAAACTTGTTCAACGCGTATTGAGCAAAATACGATGTTACATATTTACAGTAAATATGTTTTATCGTTCTGTGTAGCAGGTAAATGGTAGTACGCCGCGGCTGTATACGTAACCGAAAAACTCGGAGGCTCAAATTGCACATGATAAAAAAGATTGGGAAACCTTTTGATGCAGGAATAGAATTTTTCCTCCAGAGAATATTATTCGAAATGGAGGGAAATAATAATCCAAAAGTTTTTTTGAACTTGATACTCTATGCCATAGAGCATAGACGATCTTGTGGAAACCTGTTTCTACACACAATTTGTCTGATTAAATATTTCATCAGGAAACATTCAGAAATAATGCACTAACATAAATAATAGACTCGTACTCACCTTTTCCATGTGCTTCAAGGTCTTCCTGAGCTCAGCAATGGTCTTGGTCTCTCTCGCCGACTCTCTCCTCCTCTCCTGCAGTTGCGTCTTCTTCCACCGTTCCTCCTGCCTCGTTTTGTTGATGATCTCTTTACTTGCTTCCTTTAATTTAACTTCCTTCTGCATGAGCTCCTGCCGAAGCTTTGCCTTCTCCTGCCGCAGGGTAGTCAGCTGCCTCTTTAGCACCGCTACCTCCGCCGTCACCGTGGACGGCAACGCGGGGCGCTCACGCTCCTGCTCGCGACAAGATACATTAATTTATTACAATTATATCAATAATTCATATTTAAATATTGAAGAAGAAAAATATCTACGAAGGAAGCTATGGGGTATTACTATGTTGTTATACTGCTATATAAATGAGGAATAACCGTAATAACTATGAATTAGGAATTTCTTTAACCTTTAGAGTACTGACGGAACCTCTCGGACCCAGGTCTTTAAGTAAAAATAATATTGACGACTGCTAATGTATCCATAGGCAAAGGGTTAAAGATTTACAGGAACCAAAATAAAGGTTCCCAGGTCCCAGTAACAGCATTTAGTCTTACAGGCACCACCATAAACATGGTATTGCAAGGACACTAAACAGTTTCCTTAAGCTAAGAAGCACTGACTGCCTAACTCGACATATTCAGGAGAGCATCTTCCAGTGTGAAGCGTGCAGCGGCCTCGAAGCAAAGTGTCACAGAAGAATGGCTCTGTCCTGTTATGGCTGCCAGGTGGCGAGGTTCGGGACCTGTTGCGACCATTAAAGGCTCGATGCCAAAGTAATATTCACAGTACATCAAGTTTTTAATTGAACTCATCGGTGCCGTATAATATTATTCTCGCCTGAAGTTACGTAATTGAATCGGATAAGAATGCTTAATAGTGAAATAGATAGATTTCTCGGTGCATTGAGTTTAGTTAAGCAAGGTATAAAGTAACCAGTACGCCATACGAAACCTAAAGCACAATATAACTTGGTGGATGATTAAATGAATTCAGGTAAAAAAAATTGCTGAGAAATTCGGGTCTTAGTTTCGGATGAATTAAACAGTTTTATGCATAATGCACATTATAAATCAAACTCATGAAATACACTAAATCAGTGGATAAACTCCGAGTAGTGAAGCTCAAGTGGGCTACGTGACAAACGACACGGCAATGGAAGGCAGTGGCGCCAGACAATCTTCAAATGCCGGAGTAAAACCATACGACAAAGATAATGAGCTGCCTGACAGCGCCTCCAGAATTTTAACTTTTAAGTTAATATGGCATGGCAGAGTACAATTGTTAATCTTGGTCGGGTTCCAAATGGACTACAAGATCAGACAGTTGGCGGCTGAAAACCCATCAATGATTACCATTTAGAAAGAAAACAGGTTGAAGATTTACACAAATTGCCACGATTTCATCGGGTCATTGTACAGCTGAATGATTTATTGCTGCCACAAAGGTGATCAAATCCCGGATCTGTTTCGTCTGCTATTCGGTATGCGTTCGTCGTCATTGGAGCGAAACGTACAAGAACAAAGCTTGATTAAGAGATAATACTTCTGGTCAAGAGTTTAGCGTAGCAGAAACACGAGAATCCTCCGCAACAATTGCAGGTACACTCGATAACAATGGACCTTAGCTGAACGTCGCAACAGAAGTATTTTCTTCAAAGTATTTTCTACAGAGTATTTTCTACTGAGTATTTTCTACTGAGTATTTTTTACAGAGTATTTTCTACCAAGTATTTTCTACAGCCTTCTTGTCATTGCAGACATAATCAGTTCGCCGTGGCTGACGGACGAAGTTTCTGTCGTTATAAAAAGTGGACGTCTATCAACGGAGAAACTGGTCAGGTTGCGCAAGCTTTTATTGCCATAAAAGTTTGGCGTCAACTAATACTGCTCAAAGAATTGAAATTCATTCTTCAAGTATCCTGGGTTGTGCTTACAATTTTCTAATGATACGATTTTCTACCGTGTGAAGCAAGTTTCAGGATTACAATTTCTTGTTGTATGAATAAAAATCACAGCCACAGTCAAAGCAGATACCTATACGTTTAGAAAAAAATTTTCTGGATACATTTTTCGCAACTGTTGAAGCCCAGGTCAAAATTTAAATTTTATAAAATCAAACGTACTCCTATACCACAGGATAAAATAACGCGATCAAAGAAGTAAGCAATGGGAAAAAAGTTCAGAAAAGCAAGTCGTGATTTTTCATTATGAATATAATTGGAAAAATTCAGAATTTGTCACTACAGTCGGAATAAGTAGCGCACCGGTGAATTTACTTGTATAAAAATAGATCAAAACGGACATTCTTGGATAGAAGGCTGGAAAAATACTTTTAGTGTTTAAAATACCAGAAGGCTGGAAAAACTTTTTACATTTATATATGTTATTTTAATTTTTTCACGTTAAAGATCGCAAACACTGATCTGGTTTTATTCATACTGTAAATTTCAGACTGCGTTAGTCAGTCAAACCGACTCACATATTCACTCCAGTTTCCAGCCATTGCCAGCACACTAAACACTTAAGCGCTGCCACGACCACGCACTGGATGATAATGGCATGAAGCGCTGCCACGACCAAGCACTGGATGATAATGGTATGAAGCGCTGCCACGACCACGCACTGGATGATAATGGCATAAAGCGCTGCCACGACCACGCACTGGATGATAATGGCATGAAGCGCTGCCACGACCACGTACTGGATGATAATGGCATGAAGCGCTGCCACGACCATGCACTGGATGATAATGGGATGAAGCGTTGCCACGACCACGCACTGGATGATAATGGGATGAAGCGCTTCCACGACCAAGCACTGGATGATAATGGTATGAAGCGCTGCCACGACCACGCACTGGATGATAATGGCATGAAGCGCTGCCACGACCACGCACTGGATGATAATGGGATGAAGCGTTGCCACGACCACGTACTGGATGATAATGGCATGAAGCGCTGCCACGACCATGCACTGGATGATAATGGGATGAAGCGCTGCCACGACCACGCACTGGATGATAATGGGATGAAGCGCTGCCACGACCACGTACTGGATGATAATGGCATGAAGCGCTGCCACGACCACGCACTGAATGACAATGCCTTTATTATCATTCACGTATTCTCGTAACGAGTGCGCGAGCTGTGAGAGACTGGCTCATGATAAGACTTCCCGATGAGGCATAGTACTAAGTTTCTCTATTATATATTCATCTTTTAGTGGATGTTTCACGTGAGTGAGTGATAGATGTAAAGCTAAACACTGACAGAATAATAAGTTCCAAAGTTCGCTAGAATTAGTCTACTGAATGAAGATTGGTAACAAATGAAAATTGTGATCGTATGGCATCCATATATACTTGAACAAAGAACTGTAAATACTTATTGAATTTAAATATTTACTCAGTTTCCGGATTCCATAGATCAGTACAGGACCCTTATAGGACCAGGATAGGACTCTTTCTCACGTTGAACTGCAGTAAAGGGCATCACTCAAACTTTCACAAATTTTTAACGAAAATGTCAGCAAAAATTGACACAAATTTACCGGAATAATACTGCATTAATATTGAAAATATTGCTGTTATTCATATTAAGCTAACATGAAACATATATTTTGTATTCATTGAAAAAAATCGACAATATATTACCTATGTTACAATTCAAAGAAGGATAAAAGCAGGCGCACATATTAACCTTGATAAGAAAATCTCAGCGAAACGCGCGTACAAAATTATGAAATGATAGTTGCACTAATGATTAACGTTGAGTGAGCAGCAAGTTGCAGTACCGCACGCCAAGTAATGAGCCTGGCTCCTGTCCGCTAAAATTTTTAGTGAAGTATTTATTCGTAAAAGAAATCATCTGAAATTTTTATCTATAATAAAAATATTTAACGAAAGCTTTCTGCCACAAAAAAAAAGTATTATAAATTTTCATTTATTTATAATTTATTCTATTAAATGTTCATTTATTTAAGTTTCTCATAATTTATCTGCAGTTTTGATTCATATGTTCATCTGGCTTCATCATTGCGCACGGGAGATCCTGTAATGAGCGCCGCTGCGGTCCGCTGAGGCGAGACGCAGCCTGCGGCGAGAGGTGCTTTAGTAACGCGCTTTGCGTCAACGTACTTTAGTAACGTTTAACGTTTAGAGGTGCTTTAGTAACGCGCTTTGCGTCAACGTACTTTACGTCGATAGCGTAGGGAATGTCCCACCAGGCAAGTGACGTTGAAATAACGCTGATTAACACTTTATTTATTTTATTCAACGTCACATGACAGGTAGGAGGGTTGAGCGTACATATCATTGAATTTTGCATAAAAGATGCATAACAGGGGGAAGGATATTATGAATAGACTTGCATTTAAACAATGTAATTATGGATTTTTCATTTAAAATTAATTTGTTTAATATCTTTAAATTACCGTCCTCAATACTATTCGTACATAGAAAACATGGTGATTAAATTTACCATCAGCAGAAAAGGGTTATCTCTTTCAATTAACCGTCTCCAGTACGATCCGTAGGTACATCATGTACATGCCTATATTAACTAGAGTTTCAGTCAGAAGGCAAACGGTTGAATTAGGTTGTTGAAACTCGTTGATAAGCTGGCGTCGTGATAAATTCTTTGTGCAGTTCATTCAGACTAATTATTGCTAGATGAGCCTAGTTTAAAGCTGAAGAGGTTGCACATCGACTGATTATTAAGAAAATTATGAACTGAACCAAGTTTGAGATGCGAATTGCATGTTGCAAAAACGAATTGAAGAATTGAAGGAACCGAAACGAACATTTGCCTTCACTTTGCAGTCAAATAAAAGTTCAGTTTTTCTCTTCAATGCCTAATTAGCCAGTGAATTTACTCAATGAGTACGAATCAAATTCAAATCACAAGGAAGAGAAACGTCTCCTTCGAATCTTCGCGTTCACTTTGTGATAAAATCAATTTGCAATGCTTTTAAATTCGAAGAAAATGCAAGACAGTAATTGCTGAGATACGAGTAGAAAGCTTTAGAAAACGAGCAAATTTTCGATTTTTGATGGCGAGCTAAGAAGTTCCTGTTGCTGATCTCATGGTCTCGTGGGAGGCTGGGAGCGCCATTATTCATGACACGATCCAGTATTTTACCAATTAATTTTAGTGATTTAAAAAGCAATTTACTGTAAAATAGAAAGAAAATATGACAACCTTCTCAGGAAGAGCCAATCTTTGATTGGGATGGTGTCAGATGTATTGAATAAATGAATAAATTCGATCTGTGGGATTTCCAAGAAAATGAATATACTTTAGAACCAAGCTAGAGCGAATTGTCTGAGTCATCATTGAAGTGTTAGATTCGTGATTACAGTTGAAGTAAGACCAATCGATGAGTACACTTATGATGATTAAAGTAAGCTGCGATGTCTATGGATTCATGTAGGATTGATTTTCTTTGTTGGATTAAGTTGGTATATCCTTCAGAAGAAATTGAGCATAACTAAAAACAGAACTACTTCGAGAAACTAAGTCTTTATTTTTTTATCTAATAACGTTGATTCTGTATCTGTATCGTTGATTCTTTTATCTGTACACCTTTCCGTGTACAGGTTTACTTTGACAGGTAAAACCCCAGTAATAATAAACAATCATAATAATAAAACACCTCTTGACCAGCACTCGGAACAAAAGCATGCGGGAAACGCCCTGCAAAGACCAGACTCAAGTCACATACAACATTTCCGTTGCCATACAAGGCACAAGTCCCACAAAAGGTCTAAGTGCGTCAGGATAAAGCACGGGTGGAGTTGCGTTCTTCGATGGACACCCAAAGATAAACTTGGCAAACTTGGACTGCGCCGCCATCGAAAGGCAGGAATCCAATGGCGTCGGAAGTTGTAAAAAATGTTTTTCGTGTGAATGTTATTAGAAAATTTCACTCATAAAATTAAAGATGATAATTGTCCTTGGACACGAAAAGAGGGAAAGAAGCGTATGACCGGAGTTACAGAAAGACTGAAACTGCGATGCGATTCATGAGCGAAAAACATCTCCATTTGAAGAAAATATTATGAAATAATAGAAGGTATACAAGCTGAACGGGCTTGATACTATAGAAATTAGTCGCGTTTCAGTTCTGTATTGAACTGCTGCAGTTGTTATTCTATTAAAGAATAATTACTTCTTCATCAAATTGTTCATCTAAAAAAGACTGTAATAATTCCATTAAGTAGTGCTCTTCTGAGCGAAAAGGCGGTTATTATGAAGTATTAAAATGCAGACGTGAACTAATTGAATTCCTGGCCAAATGAATAAACGGTTAACTGGACTGTTGGATGTTTGAGGCCAAATTTGCAAACGTCAAAGCCTAAGAAGATATACCCATCATTTTGAATCAACTGCTTGTGTTTCATGCCTCCGCATAGCCTTTTACGCACGTCCAGCGTAATCCTGCCAAGATTTTAGGAGAGGTAACATATAAACATAAAGCCTCACTTAGTCATGTTCACCAGGTGCCATTTCGCATAATCTCACACAGGCAGAAAATTACTTTTGAAATGCACCACCATGACAATACATCGTCGATCGGGCAAAATTAGTTCATGATATAGATTTCTATACCTAAGACCTCGACTTCAACAAAATATCGAACACGAGAAAATTTATTTCCGATCACATGTTTGCTTGAATCACCGATAATTTAAAAACAAAGTATAATATGTAAATAAAAAATATTAATAAATTATAAATCTGTCTAAGTAGTATCGTACGTACTTATTAAATAACTGCGATTTACTCGAAGTAATTCGAATAACCTCATCTTACAAAAAAAAACCTGACCTACGAGAGAGTGATTCACAAAGCGTAATTTATTTACGCCGGCTGAAATTCAAAGCATAGGTACATCGAGAATTCTGAAATAGAAAGCCACATATAGAACATTTTTAGCAGCCTTCTTGGACACCTTGAGGTTACGAGCGAGCAAGTTACAATATAAATAGTGACGCTGTATAATGTACATATTGAGTTGACTAGCAAGCTAGCTTACATGGCAGAACGAATGAATATCTCTGATTGACAGAAAAAATAAGTTTCTCACCTTCAGTTTTTCAGCCATAGCCTGGGAATTTTGCTGTTCTATCTTCAGTCGTGTTTTCAACTGCCGAATTTGCGAATTTTTATCTTGAATTATTTTCTTTAGAATCAACAATCTCTCCTTCAAGAGTTTTAAAATCTGCTCTTTTGTTTTGGCCCACTTCGTTTTGGTCACTTCAAGGTTCATCGTTTTTTCCATAATGTTACAGTATTCTGTATCGGTATCGATAACTTCGGTATCAGCGCTGAGCCCACGTAAGTCATCAGTACCCCACACTTCGGCTTCGCATTTTTCAAAATTTTCCATAAACTCTAAGGAAGTTTTCTCCCTTTCATGTTCACTAATTCCATTTTCGTTTTCGGTTTCAAAATATTGCAGCCTATCTTCAGAATCATTAGCATCCGCAATTTTATTTTCCATAAGAACAACATTGTCTCTTTGTGGCCGCTCTAGCTCCAACTCCATTTCTCCAGGGCGCAAATATTCGTGATTCGTTTTCTTGTTTGTTTTCATATTAGATTTATCAAGGTTGTCATGTTCACTAATTGCTTTATTACTCCCTTTTCTTTTAAGAAGTGGAGACTCAGCAGCCTTTACATGAGGCCGTCTGACAAGGTTAGATTTTTTCGGCCCGTGCTCATCTCTTTGGAAAGGCAAGTCAGACGAGTAGCTGCTCTCGGAAAATTTGGTTAGGTTCCCGTACTGATACTGAGATTCAGGGTAGTTCGTAGAGAATGACACACAGCTTTCTTGATCAGTATATCCCCCTCGAGATCTACTGCGTGCCGAAAGATTGTCGTCAGGATCACTATCGCTGTCTTGATAAATACTTCGTTCTATATTGATGATGGCCTCCTCTTCATATACTGACGGAACACTGGGATTAAAATCCTCAGTAAATCCACTCTCGAGAAGATCTCGACTAGTTTCAAACTTCATGTTAGGTTCGTGTTGGTCAGAGACTATGTCGTCATTATCACTTGCTGCTCTAACAGTTCCTTCAGTGTCGCGCCCACTCTCTCCAGAGCTGCCATTTCGACTCAATGATCTAACCTCGAAGTTATTCTTCATCAGCGGGACGCCTACACTTGCATTTGAATAGAGCTGATCGGGATATACGACATCGGAATAATGCTGAAAAACGTTCACTTCACTGGACAACGATATAGTGCTAGAAGACGAGAGAGGGGTGCTTGCGTTGGAATTTTTGACGGAAAAGTATATTTGTCGAGAGCTCGTATCAAAGCTACCATCGCTGCCGGCGTTCGACGATCGACATCGCCTTTGTACAGGCACAACATAACCTGCCAAAGGAAGTTCGTAAAGAAGTCCAGCCTCATGTAACGACGAGCTTTCCTCCGATGTCGTCGCCCCATATGGTGAAGGCGATGCCAGGTACACCCCGTCATCATCTGTCGATTCTTCGTGATCGAGTTTGTCGAGAGACTCGCTGAGGCTGGATACCCTCGGCATTCCGAGTTTGTCGAGTTCAAGTAATGCATCGTTGGACCGTCCCAACGTCGAGCTGGAGCTGTGGTAAGCGTCTGGATGCACTGCGTCAGGTAGAAGGAGCTCCTGTTGAATATCGTCCGAATAACTCTGTTTCTGCAGATGCCTTCTTGACAGAGATACTCGCCTTTTGCTCATCGTGCTATTGTTTCTATCAGTCAAATAATAGACCTATTGGTGGTGGGTGTTGTGTGCTTATAACATTTTCACACCACAACTAGTAAATTGAAGGCATAACTTTGCAGTGCACCCATTATGCAGATTGATTTATGCCGCAGAACAGACGGAACCATGGAGGCTCATGGCTGAACATAGAAGTTAGCTAATAAATTAAGAGTTAACAAATCATAGGCATAGTTGTGTAGTTTTCTACTCTGGTTTCCAACATTCTAGCAAAGATTCTGATGCAATGAAAATAGTTGCGACGATGTATCTGGCCGAGGTATCGATCAATGAAACCGAAAAACATAGGTAGTATAATACTAACATAAAATATGACGGATGACACATTTAAGGCTTAGCGTCGCCTTTGTTCGATTAAGTAACTCATGCTATTTAAATTATGTAATAAAAATAGTATCTCAAACCGATATGGTTATCATCGATTCATCATCGAGGTTTAGGTTCACAGCAACTTTTGCGAAAAACGATTAATAAATGCTAGGAGAATTTTCTGTTACTCCTTCATACTTCTCTTTAAATAAAATTAACAGATAAATCCTTATGAAATGTAATTGCATTAGATTAGAAGATCGTCTATAACCTTGCAAATTGCAATTCAATCGACGTGGGAGAATTTCAGGTTAGGATATCACAGCCAAGTTATTTCAATGCACACACGTTACCACTAGATTTCCATGATTAAGGTTTTCCAAACCTTCAACTCATTCAACCCCCTGTCATTTTACGAATTATTTAATCAACAGAGGTTACAGCTTCGTATCACTGAATCCATTTAAAGAGATTTCAACACTTCAATTTTTCACAATGGCATTTTTTTCAAGGTTCGAAAGCATAGAAGACCGCGTACTTTCTAAATTTCAAGGCATGTCTTTTCAATTCTCTAGCACATGGGCACATAAGTGTAGTTTTTTCTCGACAAATAGAATACTTTTTATTACTTTACATATATATAAAAGGTGATCACTTGAAGTTACTATAAAGTGAAATTTTTATTTATGACGGCTTTTAGGTTTGCTATCATTGGGGGCCTGGCCTCCAGAGAAGAGCACAATCGCACGTACAACCCTTCTCACGTCCACCATTACACTGAGCAGGTTGACTGCTCAGTCTTGACTCTTGACTGCTTTGTCACTCGGCCGTCCGCACTCGGCGACCCGAGTCCGCTGCAGGGATTGCTCAACAACCCATGCAATCATCGTACACACGATATTCATGGCACCATACCATGAAAATATTGCAATATACGAGTATAAATTCACACGCCATTCAGATGAAAACGTTAAGCAAGAAAATGTCTCTTTGATCACCTCAAATATGTTATAAAAATGCTTATGGACCGGTCCTATAAAAATGTAAAATTCGTTCCATTCAATTTTGTTCCGGGAATCTTATATTCAGTGGAATGACCGAATGAGTGAATAGAAGGCCGAGAAATCGGTTAATTTGATACCTCGAATTAGAGTTTGTGAAGGGAAATTTCGCTTAGCTGTTGAATTCAATAAGATTTTATAATAAACGTGGTTTATTCCTTGCCGTTGGTGTCATAAACTATGATGCTTAAAGAAACCAAATAATGCAAAAATTTTACCATGGCGAATCGTTTATATTGATCAGCATCAGATTGACACGTTATTGAGCAATGACGAAACCTCATTGCCGCTATAGAAAAGCGTGACGTACAATTATTATTGAAGATTTAAGCTTTCCAAATTTTCCCCACCCTAAACATAGCAAATAAAAAAAATCCCCCAGCTTTGTTTTCTGTTGAGGAAAATGATACACAAATTCAAGGTTTTAGATTATTTCTATGTAATATGTATAGTAAATTTGTCTCTTAAAACGAGTATTGTGGTTCATAAATGAAAGAGGAGAACTATTCTAAGCACATCTAGAGGTAATGAGAGTTCATTAATTAATCACTAAATGAATTCATATATACCGTACGGTCTGTATAATAGATTCTTTAATAGAAAGCAATCACCTTGATCTGAGCTAGGATTTTTTCAACTGACAAAAAATTACTGATTTTTATTAAAAATTCCGTAATTTTCGGTTAGTTATTTCTGTTAACAAAAACGACTTCATGAATTTGACGCCACATAAAACGAATCGTACTACTATGACATCAAAAATACACATGCTAATTAAAACCAAAGAGCAATACTTCAAGTTGAATAAAGTTCATTATTATATAATAAAACTTTCTTCTGCAATTAAATTTAAAAAAAAAGTCTCGTAACAATTTTGAGACTAGAAAAGCACCGACCAAGAGTCTCTAGGTAAACATTATAATTAAATATTAGGGAGCTAATTAACGACTTATACAGTATATGCGTCAGGACAGGAGTTTCAATCACTGGAGCGATAGACGGAATAGTTAGAGAATGTATTCATTTAATAATTCATTCCTCGATTACGGACAGATAGTTATTCACCTGAATTTACTGGCAGGTATCAATAGGAAATCACTCTTCTGAGAACGGAAACTTCTACAATGAGATGACTGTTTAGTGACAATCGTTACAATGAGGACCGTAGCATAGTAACTCTTGCCGCCCGATAGCGAGTCTTTTGTTGGGTCTAACTAATGGTTTGTGAGACCCGCCCTTAGGATGATCGTCGTTAAGATTGCCCAGCACGGTAACGGCTGGCACGGTGCCAGTTCTTTTGTTGGGTCTAACAAATGGTTTGTGAGACCCGCCCTTAGGATGATCGTCGTTAAGATTGCCCAGCACGGTAACGGCTGGCACGGTGCCAGTAGAGCACGGTATCAGCGAGGACCTGCATGCACCGACAGGGCACGGTACCAGCATGGCATAGTATCAGCAGGGCACGGTACCGGTGGGGCACATTGCCGACAGAGAACGTTATTAGTATAAGACAGTTTCAACTGGGCACCGTTTCAAAAAATCAACAACAGGGCCCGGTACCAGCAGGACACGCTACCAGCAGTGCCTGGTGCCAGCAGAGCACGGTACCAGCATGGCACCGTGTGATGGCAGGGTACCGTGAAATGCATAGATACAAAATAGCGGCGATTCATATCGCTTTGATATGAGCGTTCTAACCCGCTATTTACCGTTAAATTACTCTGGATCAAAAAGCGAGGCTATAAATCGGATCATTTATGGTCAATAACCGAAGAAATAAAAACTACTGCTATAAATTTTAGCTGGAATATGATTAAAATTCACAGACAATCTGACCAGCTAGGCGGTGCTATTACAGCCTAATTAACTTCGCCAATCCCAAGAATGCATGAAAATTTTGTACAAAGTTAAACAATAAAAGTTCTTGACTTCCAAGAAAATAATTCATCAATGTACGAGTTCTTCTCTAAGCAGATGAATTAATGAGTAAATGTTATCTCATATCCGCGTTTTACTAACCAAGACACGCTACCACACCACCAACAAACTGATAATACGTGTTTCTTGGCGAATACTTTTTGAGAATAAAAATGCTATTGAAAAGCAATTAGACGATTCCTTTAAACACTCTTCAGAATTGTGTGAAGTATTAAAGTAAACAACTGTTAACCGCATAAATTAATCACCGTGTTTCTACTGCGTGCAAGAATGAGTCGAAATTCGTAAGCATAGTAGAATTCATGGCAATATGTACGAGCGATGAACCACTTGGTCGTGGAATTGCATCAAATTAAGTCAAATTGAATTCCTTAATATTTATTCTTATCAAATATGATATGAAAAGGAAACGAATTAAATAATTATAATTTATAATGAATTCCGCTAGCTCTCACAGACTTTTTTTTTCGCTGGGCCAATGTGCTAAACCATACTGTCAAATTACCGAGTTACTTGAGCGTATTATTTTATGTCCAGGTTATATAAACTTTATTGAAAAGTTCACGATTATTTAAATTTCACGATAAAACCATTCCCAACCTCGAAGGGCGCCAAGGATTCCTCTTCCCCTGGATTCATCGGGGGCCTTCGATTGCAACGACAGGAGCCAAGATAGAAGCTCCTCGTCATCTGTACGCTCTCCTTCGACCATGACGTCTGGAGTGGCCTTCGCGCAGCGATGTACACGTCACAGTGTTGTGCACATAGTGCTATTCGTACGGAGACTGGCAACGATGTACATTGTACATTGCACAGTACACGTCAGAGTGTCATCTCTGCAGTGCTATTCGTACGAAGACTGAAAACCACAACCGACGCAGTCGATTTCCTCCATCAGGCGACGTATCGGTCCTTTGTAACGTTGGATTGTGAGAGAAGTGATACAGAACAAATAAATATTGTGATGTTGAATATGATCTCAACATAGCAGTTAAGTTACACGGTAATCCTTAAATAAACAAGCAATTACATTTTTTCTTTAGTTTCACAGGAATGATTTTAAGCAGCGCAAGCAACATGTACAGCTCGGCGAGTCGATAATTGAATTTCTTTCTCGAGACCAACATCGATATAACAGTTCATTGTTGTTGCATGATAATTCGCGGCAAAAACAGTTCATCAAAATAGAAGACTTAAATTTTTGTTCCTAAAATTGAAAAGTTTCTTACAACTTCACGTCTACTTCACTCAGGTATTGTCTCTCACTTTCTATACCCTCCATTTACACTTTACAGCGTGAATAATTCATAACCAAATTATCAGATAAATTTCGTCTCGGGGATATTACATGTCGAAAATGACAAAAACTTACACGGAAAAAAGTTAATTTCAGTCTTCCTTAAAATTTTTGGAATAAAGGTCGCGCTTATAATAAAGTGATGGGCTCAACAACTCAAATGTTTCAGTTCTTCTGTCCTTAAAAAACATTCATTGCTAATTAGTCCCGTAATGAATGAATTGCATATAATATTGAAAATGTTAGGATTTACAATAGTAGGAATACAAGCGGGCAGAACTTCTACAAAGTCACTAACTCTGGTGCCGGTACAGACTCATGAGTGGTCATGTCACTAAAAATCTAACTATCGGTGCTTCATTATAAGTAAGACCTATTGTATGGCCGCCAGCCAACAGTCTACTAAAACTCTATACTAAAATACAATAACTAGATCATAAGAGAGGAAAGTTCATAGAAAAATACAAGTAGCAGCATCATGCGCATTCCATATTATAGAAAAAGGAGAGCTATTGATTTGAATTCTGTAACGAATCAAGAAGAGAACTGCTGGGCGCTGGAGAAATTGTATTTCTCCAAGTGAGAAAAATTTCACCGCCCGATCAAAATGAACTGATGGAAACAGGTAAGCTAAAGTTCAGTATAAAAGATCATAGAAGCCATGAGCAACGATCGATGTCTAATTGAGACGCTATACTAAAGAAGTACAGTATGTATGAGGAACTAGTGCGTTCAGTAGGTATATATGGAGGACAGATAAAAGAGGTACTGAGGGGATTCAAGGCAAGGAGTCGATGGTCAAGAAGGGTATCTTAACACTAGGTTATGATGATAAAAGTGCTTCAATCCACGCCTAAAAATGGCAACAGCTCCTCACTTATATCAATGAGACTCGGCTTGTGATTTCAACAACTGAAAATTTTCGATAATGCATTCCACAATAAATTCAGAAATCAAAAAACTATTTACGATACGTAGTTGCGCATTTTTATAGTATTTGTGCATCAAAATCGAATTATGATTGAATAGCAATACTCTAAGATACTAATATTGTACAACGACATAAAAACGGGAATAAAAATTGTCGCAGCACAGATTTGTAAGATGAACAAAATAAATCGTATATTTTATTTCGAATTGCAAACTCACAAAGCCAGGGAATGTTTCAAAACTCGAAGCACTGATAAAACTCCTCAAAAAATGTACATCGATATATATGAGAGTTCGGAAATATCTAAACCTCCTAATCGGATGAATTTTCGTGATCACTTCGACCGCTGCAGTTGTCGCCTGAAGAGCTCCTTGTAATTTTGGTTGTGTCTGGCTTGTAGCCGCTAGTGGAGGGGGCGCTGTAAGCTGAGTCTGACATAGCGGGACTCACACTCCTAGACGTAAATGTGGACTCGGCAACGCTTTGGCTGCTTTCTGCACATGTGGAATTGCAAGAAAATCTTGATTTTTCGAGTTTTACTGCTTCATGATGAGCGTAACGCTTACCTTTTCCAGCTGACAACACGGATTCCGAATTACCGTTTGTAGTTTTATGACACTGCTCGATTACGGCTAAACTGCTGGTTCGGTTAGGTTTTGATTTCGTACTGATGACATTTTTATTCGATTCTTTTCTGCCTGGCGACGACTTGGAAACTGTTGTTCTTGAACGCAACTTAGGCGACAACATCAAAGGACTTTCCACATTACGAGACTTAGTCGACAGCTTCGATGTTGACGGCTGATTGTTCCTTCTTGATTTTGTCGGGGCTGAGAGGCCCGCCTGCGCTTTTGGGAGTTTCTGGGGTGGGCGACGTGCGGGCGATAGCGCTCGCTGCTGGACTGCCGACCGCTGGACCGGACCCAACGGAGACGCCGCTGCCCCGACGCCCTGTAGGATCCATACAGTCACGACACCGAATAATATGTATAAAAAACATCCCTCTAAACATCTGACGTTGAAATAACGTTGATGAGACGACGTTAATGTAATGCAGTTTCAACGATGATTAAACAACCTTGATTAAACGTTGTTTAAACAAAATTAGTTCTCAATCAACGATGTTGCAATGTCATTGATCTGGAGGGATGTAAAACAAGCCAAGATTTAGTTTGAGCAAATTCAAAAGACAAATGTATTTCAAACATTTAAAGCTAGGCACATTTAAGCTACAGTACGCCAATGAAGCAAGTTACTAAACAAAATTAATTCACAATAATTTAAAGCACATCTACAAATAAATAATATCCACGGTAAATTACTAAGGTTTTCTACGTCTATGAGAAGGGAGGAACTACCACAATGGCATATTCTTAGTCTCTATAAAATTTATGTAATATGAGATTTGACCTGAAACGTCCACACAGGATTGGTTCGAAGATTTTGCTTTGTAAAATTGTGAATTGAAAACTGGCTGTAAATTCATGTTCCATATTGAAAAAACTTTTTTTGTTGTATATGTATAGACTCGTCTTGTTTGGGCCAAATTTTTGAGGAAATTTTGAATTTGAGGACGAAAAAAACTTTTGAATTTGAGGACGAGGAAAACTAAAAGTCTTCGGAATAGTACGATATATATCCAAATTGATATGTTATTCAAAAATTAGGATGGACTCTATGATGGAAAAATATGAGTGAGTTCATAAGAATAACTTTCTATAGTGAATCAATTAAATTGGTTAATATAAATGGCCAGGTATGTTAAAAGCGGTTTACTGGATATTTCGGGGGCCAAGTTTGTTAAAGAATGTGTCAATTTTTTGAAACATCTTCGATGGAAAATAAAGTTTTAATAGAGTTCTCCATTTTAGCGGGTGCTAGAATAACGAGTACAAAATACATAATCCGAATTTTATGGATTATGCTTTAATCAAAGCATAATTTGGAATATGCTTGATTAATAATGTATTTAATAATAATAATCATCATAATAACAGACATGATTAATTTATGTAACAAATACAGGAATGTTCACTTTTGTACATAATGTAGATTAGATTTAATAGAAATATATTGGTTTTGAAAATAGAGTAAAATCTGAACGTTTAGCTTAGTTATAGTTGTACGTGTATATACAGTACGCTCCTCTGCATATTATTAAGGTCTTAAATATAGAAAGATTTAAAAACTTCTGCCTCTGATGTTAACATCAAAATTATCAAGTTATATGAGCAATGAATATTTCATAACCCGGATGCAAAGACAATTTTAGTCCCAAATTTCACAGTAATAATAAAAACTTTAAATTGCTCATTAAGTCATTAGCCGCAGAGACAATCAGCTGTTAGATTGTTAGAGACAATGAGTTAATTTCGATTTTATGATCCAGATGAACAACTTTTTTTCCGACTACATTACAAAAATGCTTGGGCTGGGATTAAAAGGCTAAGTAACCAAAGTTTAATGACAGGTTTTGCATCTGCTTCAATATTGGGAAGAATTCTACTCCTTCACTTCAGGAGTATGATGTCCTAAATATCAGACAATGAATTAAAAGGATACGCAAACTGTTATTATTTATTAGAGACTATCATCAATGCATGAATATGAGCATGAGTGATTCAGAAATACTTTAAAACTATGCTGAAACAAAATTTGATTATTACCATGAATATTTGGACGATTCATGCACAAAATATGACGCGGTCAAAGCCAAGGATCATGAAGCATTGCTATTTCTACATTACTGTCAAACTTGCCATCTAATATGCATGGCTCTAATCAATATATGAAGCAGGGTATAAAAGCTATTTGTGTTGTACGCAAAAACTATCACTAAGCAGTAATCTCAGTGCAATACTAAAAGCCGGTGGTTCACGCTTCACTCTAAGTTTTAATTGCATTCTCACTCCCATGCTTTATAAAATATCTCTATAATTACAGTAGAGGGTGTCATTTGGAAACGCGTGATTTCTCAATCTAGGGTCAGAAACAAAGATGAAAGTAGAGTGGAAATATTTAAATATATTAAATAGAATTCCTATTTAAGGGAAGCTTTTCTCCAGTTCGTTTAAGAGATAACTTGGGTTATAGGGCAAGAATACAAGCCCGCGTCAAGTAACGGATGAAGTAGAAACAAGGCAAACTTTCATGAACTTGGAGGAGGTATTTTTGCTAGATGTTCTCTAGTTTTGGAGTAAGGTCGAGGTGAGTTTCGATGAATGAAATAGATGGGGAGGATGAAATAATGGAAGGAGACTAGTAATCTACTGTCTCTTTTTAAATTGCTACTCTTCAAAAATATATTGGAATAGGTGGCTCCAGGATTGCTGTACAAATGTTCGTCTTGGTACAGAAAAACAGGTGCCAATTTTAGGCTAAGAATCTTCCGAGTTTGCTTAAAAAATCATCAGGAGTCCACAAAAAAAATCCTCATTGGAAACTCACCGGTAGCAATCCATGCCCCGAGGTACGTACAGGGTATGTCCACAGAGGGTCCCGATCACTTAGAGAAGCTACATCAGGCTCAAACTTTCGCGAACAGAAGAAACCAAATGTAATACATGTAAGAGGAAAGGGACGAGTTAAAGGGAAGTATCTTTGGAAGAGAAGTTTAGCATGGTTTTAGCTGAGATTAGTAAAGAAGATTGAAGCATGAGTGACCCAGTGCAAGGCCACTAAACAAGCACTCCAGCGGTTGAAATAGAAAAGAGTACTCATTTCTATCTTGCTCATTTCATCGGGCCGGGAGAAGTCAAAATACATTATATGCAGTAAGGGCAAAGATATAGACGGAGCTATAGGAGCAGTGGCTGAGACGGGAGCTGTAGAAGCTACTTTGCAGGGAGAAACAATTTTCTCGTCAGGCAAGAATCTTACTCGTTTTTGACACTCCACATGGCGTGATACTCACATGCAAGCCCACGCGGAAAGGCATTCGAAAAATTAAAATCTTATAGAGTGGCTGGACAGCACAGTCCAGTTCAGGCCAGTGATGAAATGCAAGCGCAAACTGCTTGTAAATGACAGATCGTAAATCTCAGCAAGTGGTGAATAAGCAAAATTTCACTGACGAAGACTTGAGAATTTTTCATAATTCCACAAGATCACCGCGAGAAGCTCAGGCTCAAGCCGCTACAGCTTCATATACTTGGCCAAAGGAGGGACAAGAGTGGATCTGAATAGGATTTTGTTAGGAAGGATGTAAAGGAAAAAAAATGTAATGGATTGTGTTTTTTCGAGTCTGGTCGATCAAAGAAGAACAAACAAAACAAATAAAAAAAGAGTAGTAGATAGAAGAGATAAACATGGCCGCAAACCTCCTATAAAAGCTAACCTTTAGCCGTAAGCGAACCGTTAGGAGATTTTCCGGTGGGTGACGCAGCTGCGTTGACAGAGGCCAAAGAGGCCGTTCGACTGGGGGCTCTGACACTGGCTCGAGAGCCTCGGCGTTCACCTCGAGAAGGGCTCAGCAACTTACTGTCTTTGAACAGCGAAGCGTTCATCAGTCGGGGGTTAGGAGTGTTGAAGATGGACCGGTTTTCACGGAAGCGAGCTCTGTGGGAACATGAGGCCAGCTCATTAGGCATTAAGCCCTCCCATTTCACTGCCACATTACGTCGCCTAATGAGAAGTTTGGATGTCCTCGCGATTCATGTCGTGAGAAAAGAAGTTTTGGAGAATGAAGTTTGTTTACGAGCTCTACAATAGAGAGAGAGAGGGACGGAAAAAGTAAAGTATGTCATCCAAGAATGGTTTGCATGAGTGACTTAAATTACTGATCAGAAAGAAGACACTGCGCAAGTAACAATGCCTTGTTGTTTAAAATCACAGGCAAGTGCAATTAATGAGGTGCACTAAGAAGGAGCTCGTCAAGTATGAACTGCCCCATGTTGCTTTGATGACAGTGCAGATCTGCACACAAGTCTGACGCGACATTTTTGCGGTCACCACACAAACATGAGAGAAAGTGTAGCGGCTAAAACATGCAAGCTTGATGAAGGCTGGATTCAATTTACAAGTCTGACGCGACATTTTTGCAGGCACCACACAAACATGAGAGAAAGTGTAGCGGCTAAAACATGCAAGCTTGATGAAGGCTGGATTCAATTAAACAGGTTCATTAGACCGTAACAATAAATAGAAAAGTTATCTAATTTTAATGAATTAGATTCCCAAGGGTATATATGAAAAAGTTAAACTTTTTATTCAATTTTCACGTCTGGAAATTTGTTTTTATTTTTCCATTGCTGATAGAATAGATTAAATCTCTCACGCAAATACGAAAAGGTTAATTCGTTTATTTAATTCTGAGGTCAGAAAATTTCTTTCTTTTTTGGTTATTTTTGATAGAATATATTAAATCTCTCATTGTGATCATAAAATTAAAATAGATTATCGTTAAAAGTCGTCAAGTCGTAAGTTCCACTACGCGCACAGAAGTAGAGCTCTCTCGTAGGCTCGTTCTTAACAAACTTCATTCTCAGCATTTGCGGCAATGGTAACACTTGTAGCGCCGTACTGCCTGTATGGCCAGCACTTGTGCAGCTCTGCTGGTACTACATTTACATTATACAGTTAGCACCTGTCTTGGGGCCAGACTTTCAAAATTCGCTAAGTGAACACAAGTATTTACGCTCTATTTTCTTGTCTATGATAGGTGGATTTGGCTTGAAAGGTCATCAATGAACGGTTGATGAACTTACGATCTCTTAACTTTTTTTGAAAGCATGGGCCATGGTACTAACTGTAAACTTCTATCTGCACTTGCATCGCCGAAGTAGAGCACTAAATATACAGTATTGGTGCGGTTACACGAAGACTAAGCAAAATTTTTTTGGATTTCTTTGGTTCGTAGAGATTTCAATAGAACATGAGATTTTTTATGCAAATCGTATTGGATTGAATTACATCAATATAGCATCGATTCGAGTATAAAAGTGGATAGAAAAAGTTAATGTATCGAAGGTAATTATTCGCAGTGAATGAAATTCTTAAAATGAATGCATTTAACGAGTAGAATCGTGAGATGATAATTTCATTCACTGTTCAGTTATTATTAAGAGAAGCAATTATTCGTGAACGAAATTGTGCGTGGTTTTTACAGGATCAAAAAATGTCACCAAAAATACAAAGAAACTCTCTTGATTAGAAAATTTAATGAAAATTTCATCTGAATAATTATTGTCTTCGTGTAACCGGGGCAATGTGTGTGCGTGGAGTGTCATCAGTGCGTGTTTAGTCACGTAACCCCGCATTCCAGAGTTAAATAATTTGTATAATTAAAAATTCAAATAACTAATATTTGCCTAAATCACTCCGTTGCATAAACCATTCCAGTAACCGCATGACAAAGCCTGAAATGGAAAGCAGGTAGAAACAATTCAGTTAAAAATGCAAGACTTCAAAGTTGCTTAATTTCAAACTGCACCCTTATCAAAAATTCATGGACTGATTATCGGCGGCGGACAGACGGCCAACCATTATAGCCGATAATTCGTCCATAATTTCATGAGGCAAGGACCAGAACTTACTCGGAGGGTCGTCATACACGCGCCCTTTGCGATAATTGAAGATTGACGGCTTTTCCTTGAAGCGTTTTCTGATACAAAAAATATCATTAAACAAAATCAGTCATGAAAAGAAAACATCAGGGGCATTACAATCATAGATGGTCAAAAGTTCGTAACTCCGTTAGCCAATCACAGACGACTTACCAAATTAAACCTACCAATCGCAAATGAGAAATCGGCCGAAATGTGTACTTATTTATAGTTTTTTGATAGTAAGAAAACGAAAAAATAGTTTTGATAGTAAAAAACAAAAAAAAAATAGTTTTGGTAGTAAGAAACATGACTGTCTTTTTATCAAGAACCTGTCGAAGGTGCGCTGCCGTCTGATAAATTACCTTTACCAAAATTAATAATTTTCTTGCATTCATTACTCATTGGGCCCTTGCTTATAGAATACAAATTTCACTGAGATTTTTCCAGCTAAATCAAGAAGCATACTTCATGTCAACCTTGAAATTTAAATTATCGAATATTGTTGACTCGTCTGGACCCTGGTAGATTTCATCTAACATGAACTTTATCGTGATAGTATGAAATAAAAATAAAATGCACTTCTGTTGTTTGCCAGGAAATAATTGCTTCTGTTGATATTCCCGAATTAAGGTGGAATAATTCAAATCCAAATTTTTAGCCTTAAAAATGCAGAATCTTGTACTGTAAATGCAAGGTACAGTAATTGGAATAGCCGCTGAAGGCTAAGATTTTTTAATGAATGCCCTCGAGGTTTTTAATTTCTACCGACGTAACGCCCTTCAGAATTATGAAGGCAAGAGGCAGCTTCGACAAGATTAAAATCTTCTGACAGACTTCATTCGAAATCTCACAGGATTGTGGCTATGGCTTTTCTGGAAGTCCCAGTAAGAATCTCAGAGATTCACGATCGGCATACAAATGTAAGAGGAAACACCAGGAACTACGTATAAGCTGGATAGGAACAACCTGTATAAGATTAAAATATAAAAACTCATATAAAAATATCCGGCATCCTGTCACTTAGAATTTTTCACATGGAAGACAAAAGTAAAAAAGTAAAAACTGCTCCCTAATTTTCTCTCAAAACTTCATAGTTTATCTCTGTAGCCTTTCATGGAATGCTCATTCCAGTGACCTCATATACTATCTCACTTTTATATTTATGGAGTACCCTTCAGGGGGACTTATTTCTGACTTTAATGATACTCTTCTATCATTGGACTGACTTGCAGAAGTGAGGAGTAAGTACACCATTATAGCTAGTTCTACTGATACTCTTATCATTGGACTGCTTTGGAGAAGAGAATAGGAAGTATATCATCACAGCTGACTCTAACGATATTAACTTGGAGAAGAGAGGAGTAAGTACATCATTACAGCTAACCCTAATGATATTCTATCATTATGCTGCTTTGCAAAAAAAGAAGAAGTATATTACTACAGCAAACTCTAATGGTATTAACTTGGAGAAGAGAGGAGTAAGTACATCATTACAGCTACGTAGTTCTAATGATAATCATTGGACTGACTTGGAGAAGAGACGCAGCACGACGCAGATGATGACGAACATGAGGGCGAGGCCGACCAGCACGCCTATCATCGTCGGGTCCACGGGGTTGGCAGGCCGAGAGTCTGGGTGATACAAGCTACTTAAAAATAATATTCTAAGAAGATATGCGGCAACAAAGACCTATTTCTTCAGTTCCGACACTTCCATTATAATATTCAGCACTATTACAATAATCTTAGGCCTAATTTCATTGCAAAATTCGACAAACAAATGTATAATAGGGAAATAAAAAAAACACATAAATTAACAATCTTTCCTCAGCATCTGTGTCTCATGACAGTCGGCAGGGCATCATTAGCCCATTAAAAATCTGTGCAAAGGTTTTAGTAGCAGCGATCATGTGTAGAAATGCTTCCCGAATAGAAATAAATATTAGTCTAGAGTTTCAAAAAATTTTTTTGGCGCAAAGATATGCCCATTCCAAATATTAGTTTCTTTATGTATTAGTTTCTTTAATTTTTATTAGATAAGCTCATTCCAGTTTCTTGATGAAAATTAAACGATCGGGTTGCCATAGTTAAAATGATGTTGAAACACCACATTATTTTTAGGGTATTAATTATTTCAGAAAATGATTGCGCTATTTCCTTTTGAATGACAACAGGAAAAGAGAGTTCACGTATTGTTTATTCAATAATTCAAATACCCTGCTATTTTTTGGAGATAACTTTTTGGCATCCTGTTGGAGAAGTGATGAATTAATTGAAACAAATTCTCCCATAGAGGTTGCATGCAGTCCCATGAAGTGAACAATATGCAATTAAGAAAAATTGATCATTGGCCACAGTTTGTGACGACAGCGAGCGAACTAAAGATGAGGTCAAAAATGTTATTTAAATAGAGAGTACATATAAGAGCTTATAATATTGGTCGTATGCAGAATGTGTAAAACAAATTTGTGCATAGATTGTCTGATTAAATTGTAGTTACTTTGCAAGAAATAATTTACCAAACGAATTAAATCAGTGTTTTAAATCTGGGATCGAACCATCATCATGTTCTACTTGATTTAATTTCGTTGATGCTAACATCACAGTATTTTCTCGTATCTAAATTTCTTTGCATGTAAATAAATAAGAATTAATTCTGTAAAAGGGTCATCGGGTCTATCCTTTAAAAAAGCTTGCTATATAAATTTATTGAAAATAAATTCGTGGAATTTTACTTCAAATTAAACATCGAAAAAGCTCCTGATTAAAGTTTTTCTTTACATATTTCATCTTAAAAAATGACGAATGTACACTTTTTTCTTAAAGAAATTTCTATCGTAAGAAAATAAAATTTGATTCTAATCTTGAAGAAATTTGGCAGTAATTGCTATATATTTTATGCTTTCTGATTACGTTCTACGCAGTTGATGCCGACGCTGGGATGCATCTTAACTTCGTAACCCTTGACGCAGGTGCAGATCTTGTTGGTGCCACAGCGCCCGTAAGTTTCCTCCATGAACAGACATTGTTCATCGTACAGGCAGGACGTGTTCAGTGCCGCACCTGCAGCACAAAGAAGAATGTTTACTTATTATTGTGTACAGTGCATGGTCCGGCAGTACTGCACTACTTTTTAGCTTTTGAGTTATATGTAATAGGCAAAACAGTGAATGGGTGACAGCGATGAATGGGTGAAAACGAAAATGTTCGTTTTACCCCATATTGACGAAATATTTCACCTATGTATATAAAAAATTGCTAATTAAAATAGTGAATGGGGATGGAAACGATAAATAAGTTATAAAAACAGTGAATGGGGGGGACAAGAATCGCAAATTCGATATGAATACTGTGAATGGGGGATGGAAATAGTGAATGTTGGCTGTAAAAAGCCACAGCGTATCGTGCCCGATTACTGCTCCCCATTTGTCGAAGTCATCCAGGAGGCGATTCACTCGGTGGCATAAGAATTTCTCACGAAAGACGTAATCAAATGCGATGACAGAGTTCGACCGAAGAATTTATGGTGAGACATAACAATCATGGCATTCATATACGGCTATGCGCCATAATGGTTGGTTTTTGCGGTCTGAATTATGATCGAAGTCAGCGGCTGAATTAATGATCCCGACACCACAGACCTGAGTTGGGAGAATTCCTGGCGTTGATAACTTTCAGGATGGAATTAATACTAAAGCTTTAGTTCGATCCAAAATGGGATATTTGTTCAGATTTTGAAATGTGCATATTTTGTGCACAAACGTCTTCCTATCAAACTGACAATCGCTGAATTATTTTCCGGTCTCATGAAAACCGGAATCCTAAGTGTATTTGGAGGTGCAGATTTCGTTGAAACAGCGAAACATATGAACAATTCATGCAACCTTGATGGTCTAATAAGATTTTTTTTTCAAGGTTTACATGAGCAGAATTATGACTGGTTCAAAGAACATTGGCTCAATTTTTATCGATAATAATTGAAGGCTGGGCCTATACTTTAAAAAAAAATTCAAGAGATCGTAAGTTCATCAGCCAATCATTGACGGCCTTTCAAGCAAAATCCGCCAATCCAATCGTAGACAAAAAAAAGCGTAAGTACTTAAGTTCACTTAGCGAGTTTTGAAAGTATGGCCCCAGCTATGTAAAATGTTCTAGCCTGTTTCTCGCGTGTGCACGCCATGAGAATTCACAAGTTCTGTGGCAACCAGAGGTTCGGTAGACCTGGTGCTGAACTTCAAAGAGGCTGTCGTCACCCAGCAACCCTCAAGCAAATTGGGGCGATCAAACTTTCCAGGAAATTGGCTGTTAGCTTTGTAGCCTCCTGCACCTGCAATCCCCACACCTGGGGATGCAAGCTCAAAGGGAAAACTCGAATCCCCTAACCGAACATTTATACTTTTTTCAGCTGTTCGCGTCGACCTTGAATGAAAAATTGTGACTTTACGACCTATTTCAAATCTATGATCAAATTCAAAATTTTTTGTGTCGGATCCTGACGCTTTGTGATTGTTTGCTCGAGAATGGTTGGATTTCAAAGGCGGAGAGGCAAACACAGATCGACAAAGTTTACCAACGAAAAGAAATGTCAAAAGCCAAAGCACAAGTGCCATGTCAGCAGTAATCCTGTAACTGATAGCGTGTTTTGTTATCCTTATAATCATCTAAAAACTTTTGAAACTCGCGTAGCAGTACTCATTTAATTTTTTTAAATAATTAATTAATACTTGAGGAAACTTGAGCATGACTGAGTGTGGTAACTAGCAGATCCAGCAGAAAAACAAATGTCACTGGATGAGCCTGCAAGCGTGTAACAGATCCTGTAGAACTACAGAAGTCGCCAGTATAAACTTGAATACATGTTTATATACCAGGAAAGTCACAGATCCTCCAGAACAGTTGTCACTATAGGATCAGCCCGCTTGTGCGGCCAGGATGCTTCATTTGGTTTTTAATATTATTTTTCTTCGAAAAGGTTATCATGACGTTTGGTATTGCTTCATTTATAATTAATATTGTTATTATTCGCTTTCGTAACGTCATGTATAATCAGATCTTCGAGGGCAAGTTACGCATTGAGGAATTTAGAGAATTTAGAGGGATCCTGTCCCGCCTGAACAAAGATGGCGACGCTGGGAGCAAACGAAATCAAAACAACTTTGTTACTCTCTGCGACTGCAATTAGTGCCAACTGCTGGGCTCCTGTGCTCGAAATTGCGCCATGACTCGACAGCTGCGGTTCTTTGGCCAGATTCTTGTTCAGAAACTAGAAAATTAATTTAGGCTTCATCTTGGATTTTTTAGTTTCTGGCGGATGGAGGATGATTCTATTAAGTGCAGTCCTAGAACGAAAATGATGGTATGTAGTTGTCCGGTTTCCGAGGATTCTTCATTTTGAAACACTCACGTAGAAGTCAATGGGATGTGGGCTGATATTTAGGATAAATTAACTGGAAGTGCATTCAGTGAATGATCGTAAACAGTGGTGGAATTTTAATCTATTGTCCTATATATGTGTTTGAGATTAAACTCTCGGCAGATCGAATAACACGTTATATAAGATATTCATGAATGGTTCAAATAAAATTGCCTAGAAATTTTCATTTCTCTACGCAGGTTCTCATTAGTGAAGGAAGAGGTTCGAGGTCAAACTCCAGTTTTTTAAGCACCTGCATAATCTACCTAAGGGGATTAGATGATCATTTCAATATTGCAAATCGATATACTGTCCAAAAACTAAAAAATAATCCACATGATTATTTATTGGTACATGGTTATCTGAAGCTTTAAGATCGCAAAAAAATATTTTTTTCCTCCCCTTAGCAAATATGATCGCAATGAATATTTTTTAGATCGCAATAGACATTTTTTCCTCACCTTAATTAGAGAAGAGAACACTATAAATATTTTTAGATCGCATTAAATATTTTTCCTCACCTTTTCTTCAGGTGATTTTTGAAGTAGACAAACTCACCTAGCATTTCACCTAGCATTTTATGGTCAACCGACAAAAATAACGGGTGACTCAACAAAAAAAAGAGGTTGGATTGGCTACATGAGCTGCAGAAAGCAAGGTCTATGTATCACTTAAAGTCTACAAACAAACCCTAAGTTCTTGAGAGGCTCACAAAAGATCACTCATATTGTACAAACTTCGCAAGATCAAATGCGCGTTCTCAAGAAACCTTTCTGACGACAACAATACATGTAAAATTTTCATCAACTTATTTTTAACTTAGAAGACTCGTGCCTCATGAGCTTCTTGAAGATTGAGTTGACCTTTAGCTGCAGAAGTTACTTAAGAGTACACAGGTCACTTGAGTGTTTTCTAGATTTTCTCTGACTTCTTCTAAAGTTTATCAATTGAGGAATTTTAGCAGTTTAGCACCCTACCTGCGAGGAAATTGCGTAAGAAAGTTTGTGTCAACCTGCTGCCCGAATTTTTCACAAAGTTTCCTTATCGTGCAACGGGTATGTTAACTAAATTTCAAATAAATTGGTGATGATTACGTTATATATATAAAATGGCATTAATGGCTAAAGCTGCGATTGATAAGTAAATGATTCAAGTCAGAAGTCACATTTTCCTGTCTTTTCTATACTATTTAATAATATCCAAACAACAGTTAACTGCCATTGACTGTTGACGCTCAAAACAAAGGATTATATTAGGCAACTAAAGATCATACCACAGTAAAAAAAACTCCTCTGATATCTCATACCAACACCACGTTAGAATAACTATTTTTAGTAAATCTGTTTGACATTATTGATGGAATGATTTAAATATTATATATTCCACCTCCAATAGACAGCGCTCAATATTTGACATGTACATTGGGGTGTCGTGATAGTCCAACGTTTATTGGTGTGCTACAGCCAGCAATTTGTTATTGATCCTTAACACAGGCAGAATCTGACATATATACGATGATTGTCATGAAGATGATTATCATAAATTGGATGCGTGGCCTAATACCTTTATGATGCAAAAATATTGCTCAGTTTAGCTAGATCATGAGAGGTGCCAAGCTGGCAATTTACGAACTTCATAAATTAAATTCTAAATTACTGGCATCCGTTCTTTCCAACAAACCACATTATTCGATGTTAAAAGTCAATAAAATTACTCCAGAAAAAAATGATGTTAGAAAAACTGGCCTGAATTAATGAATATTGACATATACCTGTGCAAGCGAGCTTAAAAAGTGGCTAACTCATGCATAGGGTACGTACTTCATGTCGACCATCATTGGCACTTTCACAGGATTTGCAACGACGCAGCATCGATCCCATTGACCTGGTCTACATAATACAAGAGAAGCAACTTGCCTGCTCATTTTCAGCTGCACCGACCGGCAATTGATGAATTAGCATGTATAGAAACGGCTCACTTTTTCTTATGTTCACAATTAACCTTAAACATCGAATAATTTGCCTCGTTGAAGAGAACGGATGACCGTCACTTAAAAGTAATTATGATAAAGAAATCTCACAAAGAAATGATAGTTTAATTATTCCAACTAAAGAACATGGCTTCGCTGACGGAAGCTCGAAACTTACGATCGTCGAAAATTTTCATTAATATTATCAGGTTGATATTATTATTATGTGTGATTATTAGGTTATGTGATTACCGTCCTAACTTAAAACTAAGCTAAGGAAATAATTACTAATGTATGGGTGCAATAATCGACATAAACTGTGTAGGTTATTATCTTGCAATGCCAGCAGGAATGTTGTTATGACCACAGGCCGCATTCCTCGGCCAGCGCGGCAATAGAACAGGAGCTGGTCGTTGGGTGAGAGTGAGCAGGCATTCCTCAGAGTTTAATTGAATTCGCATAACGGCGTTCCGATGTCCTGTTCCTTAACAGCAACGTGGAATTGTCTCAGGAAAATATTGTAAAACTAGTATTGGCATAACACCGTATTGTTATGCCAGACTATATATTGAAGAATATTACCATTTCACTATGGTAATATTGTTACAATATTTACCATATATTGTAATATGGCAATATTGTATTACCATATTACTGGTGTAATATTGTACAAATAGTGACACATTTTCTTTCACATAGCACGAGCAAAGAATGGACGTAGTGCGGTTACGCCCATTTCCCTACTTATTCAGGCTACCCACACCAAGTCAAAAAGTTCATTGTAATTTGGACAATTTCTCACTCATTTCTTAGAGTGATACACCTTTACCTCTACACTGTACGGTATCCCCTCACTTATCAAGGGTGTTACGTTCCTGACCTCGACCGCGATAGGGAATTGGTTGACTGATACTATTTCAAGTATTTATGTTGTGATTGTTTAATAAATTTTCAAAGTTTTTAAGGTTTGCACGCGCTTCCCACACTCTTAAAACCGATCGAGTGCTGCGAGCCGTTAGTATCTCTGTCTCCAAAATTACAAAGAGCTGATTTGTCATATAAAACCGGAAACCTGTTCAAGATAGACATACGTAAATCCCTGAAGATTTAGTGCCATAGGTAAGTGTAGTTTTCAGCTACAATTCAATGATGGTTAGTAGCGGCAGCTCCATCTAGGCAGGTTGAAGGTATCTGTAACTGAAGTGTGGGGTGCAAAGTGCGTAGACTAATGTACACACACGACAAAATCTTTAGCATCTCAATGTCGTACCGAAACGATATGGAACTTTGATTTGTAAATGATGATTATGATTTGTATTCAAAATGGGCAGACTAACGAGCTAACAAAATAAAACCTGCAGCTCTCTATATATACTTTCACACTCTCAGACGGCGCTCCTCAGCCGTCTTTTGTTTGCCTAGGGTTTCTCTGGTAACGAGCGAGGTGGGCGCATTCACACCCTGGTTCTTGTAGTGATCATTGTTTAGAGTTGCTGTTGGAGCGAGTCTCGCAATTTTTATTTTAAATTTTACACCAAAGTCTCAGAATTTCATAAGTTTATTATTATGTCGGTGCACATCTTGCTGTTGTCGTTGTGTGAATGCAGGATTGTTTCTTTACCTCATTCAGAATGGCGGGTAAAGAAGTTAGAGTATACTTGTAAATTGGAGTTCCCGCGGTCGACTGTTGTTTAATCCGTATAGTCAGGACTTCAATTTTGACAATTCTTGTCACTTTCCTCCTGTTAAGATGTCCTTGATATATATCGTCATATATCCTTCTGATCGATTTTTGTTTAGTAGCAGTTCTCGATTTATGTTGGACGTTTATCCGATTTATGTCCTTGGTTATTCCAAGTGAACGTGAGCATCTGCTTTCATTTCTATCTCTTATGATTCACATGAAGTATAATTCCTGCCAGTTGTCGCTAAAACGAAGAACTTCAGAGGGAAAACAACCATCATGTGCAAATGATGCGCTACAGACTCATCGTAAGCGATAGGACTTGACGGTTGTAGAAATAAGCATATCATTTCAGGTTGATCAAGAAGCTCCTACATGTTGAAGATCGACGCCTAGGGACTGAAGAGCCTCAATTGTCTAATTGAATCTATGCAAGGTGAAATATTAATAAGACGACAACCGTTTTCGTTTGGGGACGGTGTTCTGCTTTGTTATCTGGAAGGATGGTGGCAAAGCACGAAGCCTAATAGGGGTCTCAAATTTTGAATTTGTCTTGGACCAGGGGCCATACTTTCAAAACTCGCTAAGTCAACGTAAGTACTTACGCTCTATTTTCTTGTCTATGATTGGTGGATTTTGCTTCAAATACCGTCGATGATTGGCAGATGAACTTACGATCTCTTAACTTTTTTTGAAAGTATGGCGTAGGGTCTCGGTAGGATGGTTTGCCTTCATTTGCAGAGCCTACCGTACTGTATTGGTATAAAGTTAATGTTTTAAGGTGAGATTCGTAGGGTTTTCTTATAAAACTTTTGAGCGTGGGCTTGAGCCTCTTTAATTTATTAGTCAGTTTGTGTTGATTTCCCACTACCCAATTGGTGCAGCCAATATATTGCACCGAAAATTCCTTCTTTAACCGCATTTAGAAAGTTTTAAATTACGAGATGATATGAAATGCAAATGCTAAGTTCTCATTATCTATTCTTTATTCAATTTCAGGCAAAAATAAAAGGAATATGATAACACGGAAAATATTATGTTGCAGGTAATCCAATTCCCTGGATATTTTGGGAACGACAAAAAAAGGTGATGTCGATCGACTTATATGATCACCGTTAAACAAGTCTCTAGAGAAAGGTATCACCAAAAAGTGTAATCACATTTGATTACGATCAATTGAGGTATTTTCGAATAAATAATTGTTAGGGAAAAGTCACATGAAAATTTGCACCGAAAACGGTTATTACAGAAATAAAATGAGGCAATCACATAGAAGATAATATAGATAAGGGTTTAATCGGAAGTTACCTGTATTCCTCGTAGTTCTGGACTAGGCAAAATCTGGAGATATCATAGGTATGTCTTCTTTAAAGCCACTTTATATTACTATTAATTGATGAATATATTAGTGAGGTTTTCACTTATTTTGCTCAATATTAGCATGCGGCATCGGCGATGTTGGGATGTGCAAGTAAAAATAAGTATTTAGAACAGGCTGAATAAATGCATACCCAAAGTTTGTTTTTTTTCTTCTTATTAAGTTCGTAAACCGGCAAAGCTGAAAACACGACGCATAAGTTCAAAATAAGAATTTACAAATAATTATAATACTTTTTTATAAAATCATTATAATGATCTTTACATTTAAGACAGGTGGAGATGTCGGCGATGTAGAAAAGAGTTTACTGATGAATTGGGGGAATTAGTGAAGTGAAAAAGTTATCCAATACAATAAGAATATAATGTTATGATTCTTGTGACGCTTACCTTTAAGATAGGTGGAGATGTCGGCGATGTAGAAAAGAGTTTAATGATGAATTGGGGAATTAGTGAAGTGACAAAGTTATCCAATACAATAGGAATATAATGTAATAATTTTTGTGAGGTTTACCTTTAAACAGGTGGAGATATCGGCGATGTAGAAAAGAGTTTACTGATGAATTGGGCAATTAATGAAGTGAAAGAATGCAACAGGAATATAATGCAATAATTCTTGTGAGGTTTACCTTTAAGACAGGTGGAGATGTCAGCGATGTAGACCGGTGTGGGGTCCGAACAGATGCAGGTTCCTCCAGCACCACACACAGCGTAGGCCACCTCACTGCACTGGTCCGCGGCGGTGCAGCTGATGCTCGGCATCACGTCCGGGGAGAACGTCGCTGCAAACAACAACAAAACTTCTTTAATGAATAACCTTGGTAGAACAGCAAACGTAGCTGCAAACAACAACACTTCGTTAATGAATAATCCAGGTAGAACAGCAAACGTAGCTGCAAACAACAACACTTCGTTAATGAAGAATCCTGGTAGAACAGCAAACGTAGCTGCAAACAACAACACTTCGTTAATGAATAATCCAGGTAGAACAGCAAACGTAGCTGCAAACAACAAAACTTCGTTAATGAATAAACCTTGTAGAACAGCAAACTTAGCTGCAAACAACAACACTTCGTTAATGAAGAATCCTGGTAGAACAGCAAACGTAGCTGCAAACAACAACACTTCGTTAATGAATAATCCTTGTAGAACAGCAAACGTAGCTGCAAACAACAACACTTCGTTATCTTCGTTAATGAATAATCCTTGTAGAACATCAAACGTAGCTGCAAACAACAAAACTTCGTTAATGAATAATCATTGTAGAACAGCAAACGTAGCTGCAAACAACAACAAAAACCTTCGTAAATGAATAATCCTGGTGGAACAGCAAACGTAGCTGCAAACAACAACAAAATTTGATAAGCGAACTATACTGGTAGAACAACAACACAATTGATAGGAAAACCATCCTGGCAGAACAACAACATAATAGACAGGCACTCCGCAAATAACAGCAAAACTTGGTAAGCAAACGATAATGGAAGAAAAACAACACAATTGATAAGAAAACCATCCTGGCAGAATAACAACATAATAGATAGGCACTCTGCAAACACCTGCAAAACTTGGTAAGCAAACGATACCGGTAGAACAATAACACAATTGATAAGCGAGCAATCCTGGCAGAACAACGACATAATGGATAGGCACTAAATTCAGGTAGAACAACAACCCGATTGTTAAGCAAACAATCGTAGTACAACAACTACCTGACTGATATGTGAACAATCCTGGTATAACAACAACACAATTGATAGTCACACAATTCAGGTTGAACAACAACACAATCAATTAGCACACAATTTAGGCAGAACAACAACACAATTAATAAGCACACAATTCAGGTAGACCAACAACACAATCAATTGTCACATAATTCAGATAGAACAACAACACAATCAATTAACACACAATTCAGTTGGAACAACAACACAATCAATTACCACACAATTCAGTTAGAACAACAACACAATCAATTAAAACACAATTCAGGTAGAAAAACAACACAATCAATCAACACACAATTCAGGTATAACAACAACACAATCAATTAGCACACAATTCAGGTAGATCAACAGTACAATTCAGTTAAAAGTGCAAACTTATGAATCTAAAATAAAATTAAGGCACCGGCAAAGGTGTCTGCAATTAAGCATTCTTTAATACCGCGTGTCTATAGCGAAAAGGAAAGTAGTCGTGAAAAATTGAAGCAGTTCTTCACAGATGAATTCAGAGTACGGAAAAGTGGATGCGTTGGCTCAGTTTTTGTGTCCTCCATTGAAATGCAATGAAATTTTTAATTTGTTTTGGTTCGAGGTTTTACCACTAGGTTTTGGTTCGAGAACTAAATTTTTACCTATTTACCTATTCCAGTTGATTGAAGCCACTGGTACCTGAATCCGGATTGAAACCACTTATTTAAACAATGAATCCGGTACCACTTGGGACCTTTCTCTTCATGAACTCGATCTTGACCTTGGGTCTATGGAATTATTTTGGATGATACTTGGCTTGAGTGACGCGTCGATCTGCTTACCCTAGTGCAAACCTTAACCATCTTATCAACGGCTGGCCGTTCTCCCACCGATAAAAATATCGTGATTTTCCATAACTTAGGACAAGCATGCGATGTCGAAATATAGGGATAAGAATATGTGGATAAGAATACGGGCATCGTTTTGGCCGCAGCCAAAGACGAGCAGGAAGAAGGGCTTGGCTCTAGCAAATGGTCGCGGAGAAAGTCAACCTGAATATTAACGGGATAAATTTATGCCTGATATGCAAAGTTGGAGCTTGAAACTCTAGACATTGGCGCTTCTTTCTCTCGGTGGTCTTGCGGAAGAGAAATGATTCATGTTATACTGATGTGATTTGATAATTGAGATTAGTTTCGTAGGAACCTTCAGTAATTTGTATAAGATACAATACAGTTAAAAGTTCAAGCCGTCAAGAACGATTTACTATAAAGTTGCTTTGCAATAATAAAATAAGCAAAAAAATTTTTTTTTTATTCTGAATTTAAGGCTGCGTCGAGCAGCACGAAGCCGTGTCATTTATAATGCTTGCCGGGATGACGGCTGCATTGGACCGTTAAAAAATTCTTCACCACGACGTGAAGCTTTTCTGTTTCAGGTCGAGTTCAGGAGCTCTGACAGTGAAATTGTTTTTATCTGCAAAGTCGGAAAAAAGTGAAACGCGTTGCAGGGAATAAAATAAATAAAAGAGTGTTCATTTGATTGCCCTCACTGCAATCTCGCCAGAATTATTCTACATTTTAGGTACGGATGTTATTTTGTCCTATTCGCATTCTGTTGAATTTTGGATACTTTTTAGTTATTTTATCTGGCATTTAGTGGCAATATATTTTATATTCCTGAAGCCTTTCATGCGTATCTCAGATTATTGAGTAAATAAATTACAGTGCCAATTGTGGCTCGACGTCAATACTTCAATGTATCCATTTTTATAAAATTTAAAGATCAAACAACACTTCATGCGGTAAAACGAAAATTCAGACCCGCAATGTACCTAAATGGTCCTGCCAAATAACTTGTAAAGATATGTAACCACAAAATTCATTACAGAATATTCGATTCATAAAATCATCAAGCTTCAGAGTAGCGGAAGTTAGACTCTGCAAGTTAATAATTTTAGAAGTTAAACAAGTTAAGCATTGTAATTAGTTTGATGACTATGGGCTACTCAAGTATGTGTGAAACTTACCAGCATTAACCATAATGGATGAGAAATTTCTCAAAATTATCAATGAAAAATAACTACCCATATTATAAAAAATAATTGTTGAATATTAACGATTCTCATTGTATCGAAAATTCAGAGAATGGATCCAGTTTTTTCTATCTTTAAGGAAGTTAAAGAAAGATTTAGTAGCTACTAAATAGAACTAAATTCTTATCAAAAAATAACGATTAGTGAACCAGCTACCTTTAAAAGTTAAAAAATATCAAACTAGAAAAATGACATGTGTATAATATTCTGTCTAAATTCACTTCGTATGAATAGATCATATTACTATTATAATGGGCAAGGAGAGACTGAGAGACCAATTATTATTAATCTCAGTGTCAAAAAACCTCATTGAGTACACATATCCATTCACGTAAACCATACAGTGGTATCCAGAAGTCTATTTTAATGCATTTCATGAGTTTCATGAGGAAATTAGACTCCTGAAACAGTCGACTTTCGAATCGAATTGCTTCGAATCCCTCGAAATAATGTATAGCACGCGGGATAATCGAGTGGGTGGCTTTTCGAATTTTTGTCTGCTGAGTCAGTCACTGTTTTCACAAACTGGGTTAGCATTAAAAGCAATTTGCTTGTGTCGGTCATGTTAAATAAAATAATGTTAAACAAGTTAAATGTTAAACATGTTAAATAAAATAATTTGACATGTTGAGTGCGGCACGTCCAACCGGTGGGTTGCAGGACAAATTCCGCGATCTAGTTTTTTTTTCAATTGCTTTGGCGACAAAAATTTATGATTGCCGTACTACCTCATTAAATTTGAAAATACTAAAGAATAAAATCTAATTTTTGCATCGGTACCTAGAAATTTACCAGTATATTTTGAATTATAATAGTAGAAGAAAATGGCGTCGGACAGACAGGCAATGATCAACAGTGTCGGTCACGATTCCCGCAACTGAGTTATTCACGAGGCCAGGAGGTCAAAAGTGAAGTGGCAAGGCAGCGACCCTTGCCAGAGATCATCCTAGGGAGATCTTCTTTAAAATAAGCCCTGGCACGCACACCCTCAGGTCAGCGGCCCTCGCGTTTTCTTCTCTTTCACGCAACGACATGAATTTGGTTCATGAACCCCTACTTCAAAACGTGTTTTGCATAATATTTTAAAACTTACAGTAGCATCAATCTTTTAATTTTCATCTAGATTCATAAGCTCTTTCGCACCCTCTTTGCGCCGTATTCGAAGGAAGTTTTAATACGCAAACCCAGAGGTCATCTGCATTCCACTGTTCTTCTCTCTCACGGAAGTAATTGATTTAAATTCATAAACCATTCCCATGGAAAATTTTGAATTATCTTACTTAAAAAAAACAATGACCGGTATGATATCCCCTTCTCTTTATACTACAGCGCTTGATCAGGACTGTAATAACCTTCTTCACATATTTTTTTGCGCCGTATTTAAAGTAAGTTTTCGCACGCACACCCACAGAGGTTATCTGTACTTCCTTTTCTCCTCTTAGTAGAAAACTTGAATTCAATGACACTTGTCCAGCCTAATAATGTTCTAAGCCTGAAAGTTGCTGTATTGTATTAAGCTTCGTATAGAGAACATAGCGCCAATTTTAATTTCTTGTCTTCTCTTTGTACGAAGATATTTATCTGAACTAATCAATACGGTTCAGAGCATGGCGATGCTCAATCTTAGCCTTGTATACTAAGGGAATATTTCTCATATATATTTGTTCATTTTTTATTGCACTCGATTCACTGTTCCTTTTAATTCTTGAGTGGTGTTTCTGACGTCATTATTATCACCTAAATAAAACAAATACAAATAACAAAATGAAAATGGATGATGGGAATTTCAAAATTAAAACCTAAAATTAATTAAATCAGAATAAACCTAGAATTAATTCAATGTAAGTTGTGTTGCAGTGACACTACGTTACGCGAAAGATTAAGAACATATAAATAAAAGGCGTAAATAAATCTTCATATTTTGCTCTCCTGCTCAGCATCCAATGCGTTGACCCGGAAATTTTTTAGTGTGATTGACGGTGCAGTGATG